GTATGCCTTGTGACCTGGTACCTTGCAAAAGTCTAAGCTTGTTTGGAAGGGGAGAGGGTGCAGTACAGAGTACTGAAGGTACCTACTCCGCACACTGTTCGAGTCTCATTTACACCGCTATTTTCTGCCAGAACTATCTCACCCAGACTCTCGGCGGTGAACTTACAGCCATCCTTCGCAGACTTGCTTAGATAAGTTCTGACTACTTTGTCCTGCTGCTCACACCGCCTGCGGTTATCCTCGGTCTGGGCGGTTGTCGAGGGGCACCGATGGCGGAGCGGGCACGATTGAAGCGGGACAATAGATCCTCAAGGGCCCATCTTCAGAATCACTTGGAAGGTACAGAAAGCCGTTTCAGAGCAACAATAGCACCATCTGCGGAGACGTTAACCGATGATAACCTATCGCGGGCACGATCCCTGATGCTCAGGGTGCCGATTGAACCGTCTCTCAACCCATAGATGGATCCAACTGCTGCTGCGAATTCGGATATCGAAGGCGAAAAGACGTCCCAGACCATAGGGAGATTCGGCTCGCCGAAAAGTTTTCTTTGCCTCCGGGTCTGGCATGGAAAGTTCATAAAGTAGACGCATCGACATGTTGTAGAAAGTTGTGTATCTGGTTCCCCTCCTGTCCTCCTTTCAACTTCCCTCCGTTCGCCCTGTTGTCTCCCACTCAGCGACCGATCTTTGGATCTTGGCCCAAGCTGTAGCCCGTTCGAGTCGCGTCCCCGAACTCCGTTCCCGCTGGTTCACTTCCAAAGTTATCTCTGTGGTGACTCACCATCTTTCTGCGGGATAATCTCTCAAGTATCAATTGGGCATATCTCCCTCCTCCCCCAGAGCGTTGCTTCCAGATATCTCCGCATATTACCCTTTCCGACCGAAAACTTAAGTGAAGTGATCATGGGTTCTGCTGCGCCTACTCTCGCCGAGCTTGATGCCTCGTACATCAAGGTGACTCGTTCGACCAATCTCCGCGATGTGCCCCTCCCTGGATCGCCGGAGGAATTGAGCCATTCCCACTGCACCGATCATATGGTTACTGTCCGGTGGACGGCGAGCAATGGCTGGGATACGCCTGAAGTGAAGCCCTTCGCCAACCTGAGCATCCCTCCCACCGCTTCGTGCCTGCACTACGCCACCGAATGCTTCGAGGGCATGAAAGTATATCGCGGCCAGGATGGCAAGTTGCGCTTGTTCCGACCCGATCTCAATGGAGAGCGCTTGGACGGGAGCTCCAAGAGGGCCTCCCTCCCTGGTTTCAGATTCGAGGAGTTGAAGCACCTCATCGCGAAATTGATGCAGATCGATGGACCACGTATGAATCTCCCCGCCCGTATCCCCTGACCGACGATCATTTCATGCATGACACCCCAGCTGACACCGAGGTCGTTCTCTCTTGCTGCAGGCTGGCTCCCCAAGGATCAACCCGGTCGCTTCCTCTACCTCCGTCCCACGGTGATTGGAAACGGCACCCAGCTGGGCGTACAAACCCCCAAGGAAGCACTCCTGTTCATCATCGCGGTCCCCTGGCCTGACCCGTCGAAGAAGAAGCAAGAGGAGGGTGCCCCCCACGGTCTGAAGCTCCTTGCCTCCCAGCCCGACACGATCCGTGCCTGGCCCGGTGGCTTCGGATATGCTAAGCTGGGCGCCAACTATGGACCGTCCCTGGCCGCGCACGGCCGGGCGCAGGCCCTCGGATTCGACCAGGTGCTCTGGCTGTTCGGAGAGGACCGCAAGGTCACCGAGGCCGGTGCCAGTAACTTCTTCGTCGTGTGGGACAACAAGGAGACGGGCAAATTGGAGTTGATCACTGCGCCTCTGGACAGCCAGTTGATCCTGCCTGGTGTCACCCGTCGTAGTGTTCTGGAGCTGGCTCGGACACACTTCGCTCAACCCTGCGGCAACCTTGCTCCCGTCGAGGTCGTGGAGAGGGAGTTCACGATTGCCGACATCGAGGAGGCCTGGAAGGAGGGGCGCATCGTCGAGTCTTTCGTCTCTGGTACTGCGGTAAGTTTTCCTCCTGGTAGTGATTTGGATTGTGGATTGGGCGAAAGAAAAAGTTACTAACATTGCGACTAGTTCTTCATCACCCCTGTCAAGCTCATTCGCAACGGCAACGTCGACATCGACCTGCTGACTGCCGGCGCTGAGCGTGCAGGCTACGCCGCTCAGATCAAGTCGTGGCTGGAGGCCATCATGTATGGCAAGGATGGCCAGGAAAACCACAAGTGGGGCTTTGTCATTGAAGATGAGATTGAGAACTAGGCCGAGAACTTTGGTTATGGCAAGGTCCTGGAATGTTGGTCATGCAGAGAAGGATTGCCACGTGGGGGTCTGTGTGGAGGCGGGGTTGGGCTGCGTGCCTTAAGGGTGGTGGACTGTACATAGTAGTGCTGTGTTCTGCTTCTGATATAGAGCTAGATCCTAGAGACGAATTTCCAATGTTTTATGACTCTGACTGCTTCGTTTTTTATATATATGTGAGGGCCATAGACCTGTTTTAGTATTATCGTAACTCACCATCGTTCGATTCAAGTACCTGTTTCATAATCTCGTGTAGTCTATTCATTATCACATACATATCCCGTGGTTGATGTATACATGCTATCCACTGAATTTACATGGATTTACATGTGACATTGGCCAAAATCCAACCAACAGCTCCAGCTGCTAATTCAGGTTCTCACTGGAATCGCTATCGTCCATTCCAGTGCCCTCTCCAAGGTCCACAACCATAGGCGCGTATTCTCCAAGCTCCTCTTCTTCATTGTCACCCGCCACCTCCAGCTCGACCTGCTCACCATCCTCCAGTTGTACCATACCTCGTCGAAGAATCACGTCACGATTGAGCTCCCAATCGTATTCCTCTTTGACGAAAGCCTCGAGCTTTTCGAACTCCGTCTTCACCTGGGAGTCTGTCTCTTCGAGAACCTCATATAGCGACTTCCGGAACTTCATTAGTAGCTTCCGCAAGAACGCACCGCCTTCTTCTCCATCAAGGTCAAACAAACCCCCCTCTACATCGTCACAACGGCGCAGCTGCAGCAAGAGCAAGCGCAGCAGATCACTCATGAACGCCTCCCGCTCACGGATCGCACTCCGACAAGTGAGGATCAGCTCCAGCAAACGCTTCCACTGCTGCAGACACGAGTAATTCATCAAAGTCAGGATCATCAAGAAAGAGAATTGCAGCTCGCCCAACAGCTGGCCTGCCCCGGCCCTCTCCCTCTCAGCATCCGTGGCCCCTGAACCCGATGAAACCCTATCAATCAAGTCCCCCAAGGCCCACGAACGATCCTGGGCGGCCTCAGTCCTCTCCCTCCCAATCGCACCCTCCCTCCACGTCCGCTTCAGATCCACCGGGACAAACGAGAACTCCCGTTCCTTCTCCCCGGTCACCCTCTCGATCGCCCCCTCATCCAACCTCTGCTCCCCCCCTTCCTCTGCCTCCACGGTCAACCCAGGAATAGCATCACTATCCCTCAGCGCGGTACTCGCCGAGGTAACCATCCACCGAGCCCTCCCATCGACATCCACAACAGGAACCCCAACAATCCGATCCAGCAACCCCTCCGTAATCCTATCCGTCAAACCTCGCCAATCCCTCCTCCCCTCCTGCTCCTCCTCCTCCTCCTCTTCCTCCCCTTCTACCTCATCATCTTCAAACCGCACTCCCCGCTGCTGCTGCTGCTGCTGCTTTTGTGACTGCATCGCCAACATCGCCTCCGTCACCCGACTCCGGTACCGAAACAACCCGCCCCGCCGATAAACCGCCCCCAGATTCGCCTTCTGCCGCATCGCCTCCTGCCGATCCGCGTCGCTAGCGGCGCTCAACGGTGCGAGCGTTTCACTCTCCGTGTCCCATTTCCAGACTATGATGTCTTGGCCATATTCTTGCTGCTGCCGTTGAGTCGATGGGTGGAGGGAGACGAGTGCGCCGGGATTCGTATCGGCGGCGGCGGCAGCGCTGCCCAAATCCCCAACGTAGAACCAGCTTCCGCTCCGCAGGGAGAGACTTTCGGTCGTGCCGGTGTAGAGGAAGTGCCACCCCGCAGGTAAGTCGCGGATGCCGTGGAAGTTGGCGGTCGAGGTGAAGGTGATCAGGTCGATGCCGACGAGGGTCTTGGGGGGCAGGTGGGGGAGGAGGATGGTGGGGGATGGGGTGGTCATTTTCTTTTGTGGCGTTGGGTAGTGGTTTCTTCTTCTTTTTTTCTTTGGCGGTCAGAGGTTTTGGTAAGCGGTTCGGTTGAGGGAGATCATCTAGGATGTTGGAGAGGACTGTAGGAGGTTTTGTTGATTGTATTAGGTGGGAGGGGTGAAATGGGTGCAAGCTAGTGGGCTGTAGAGAAGTGATGTTTTTGGGAGGGGTCGTCGCGCCCCCGCGGATTGACGTCAAGTTTGAGCTAGAGCGAAAACTGGCAGGCCGAACCAGTATATTGCTTTCGGCTAATTCCTGTTGTTGAAGTCTGATTAGGTAGAAGTTGACGTGTTACTGTGCTGTTGCATTTGATAGAGAGGGGCAAGACTTGGAATATGCGCCGATCAAGTTGGAAGCTTCGCGATACGCTGACTGATCGATAAGTTTGGGCTTATCTTAGCGGCTGGGTGGGCCGACCAGCCTTAAATATTTCGCGAGAATATCTACATCCTGAGATCATGGCATCGAAAGCAGATGGCAAGATGTCTGGCTTCTTTGCTGCCCGAAGCATGATTACATTTATTTTTACGTGTGATGGGAAAAAAGAGTGCAGTCCAAGGTTCCACTTATATTGACCAGAGCAACCGTCGAGATGACACCAGACTAGCTAAGATGTGAAATTCCAGAACCGCTAAACACACTTTTGGGTATGTAATAAATTGAAGACCAGGCGCAAAAAGCCGTTCTTCGCGTTTATTCCATCCACAGCCGGCAAGCAGCACCGAGCAACAAGCCCCCCAGACACGTGCGAAAGAAGCCTCTGCACCAGTTTGGAGAAGACCGAGACTCGCACATGCTTACAGACGACGACCACGGCGACCACCCTTGCGACGAGTGGAGTCGGAGGGGGTGGGGGTGACGTCCTCGATGCGGCCGATGCGCATGCCGGAACGGGCAAGGGCGCGGAGGGCGGACTGAGCACCGGGACCGGGGGTCTTGGTACCGTTACCACCGGTGGCACGGATCTTGATGTGGAGGGCGTTGATGCCGAGCTCCTTGCAGCGGGCGGCGACGTCCTGGGCGGCCAACATGGCGGCGTAGGGGGAGGACTCGTCACGGTCAGCCTTGACCTTCATACCACCGGTAACACGGCAGATGGTTTCACGGCCGCTGTAGTAGAATGAGTTGTTAGTATTTGTCTTTTGCGCTGTTCCCGTAGATGTTCTTCAATTTTGGTTCCCCATCAATCTGTCTCGGTTTGCCTTGCCACGACTCTTCGTAGCCAGCCTGATCACAAGCGCACCGGGTTCGAGAGATGGTTTCCAGAGGTTTGCGAAACGAGCACGGAGAGACTCACGAAAGATCGGTGACGTGAACGAAGGTATCGTTGAAAGAGGCGAAGATGCGGGCAACGCCGAAGACGAGCTTGCCTGAAACCCCCCAATGTTCACATTAGCATCTGACTTTGCGCGAAATGAATTTCTTTACTGCTGGGAATCAGTTCGTACCATCACCGGCCAGAGGGCCGAGAGTGACGTTCTCCTTGGCGGCAGGGGTGGTCTTCTTGGGAGCCATTTTTGTCGGTTGTGGGATGGAATATGGGACAGAAGAAAGGAAAAAAGGAAGTCGAAGTCGAACGCGCCCGCTCGAAGTGAAGTTGGGATAGAGGAAAAAAACCCGGCCGGTGTGTGCCCTATCCACACCCCGGCTCTGATTGGCTGCAGATCAATCTTAGGCCGTGCTCAAGCGAGCGCCTGCCTGAGGCCTCGAGCAATCAAGGCTTTTTTGACAGCCGTTGATTGGCGGCGCCTCGGCCTTCTAGTCGGCCCGAAAGTTGAAGATGCCGGCACTATTTAAAATTCTCCCCGTGGGTTTCAACGGGCTTACTCTTTCTCCTCCTTTGTGAACATTCAAGCCAAAACAATTGGTGCGACTCCGTGGCCATCTGCGCTGGGAGTCTAATGAGCTGATTGTCACTTATTCGACGTCTCTCATCTTCGCTCCAGGCACCGCCATCATGGGCTTCACCAAGGAGACTGCCAGTATTGGCATTATCGGAATGGGTGATATGGGCAAAATGTATGCCCAGCGCCTCAGTGCCGCAGGATGGAGGTAATACACGCGAAGATTCTTTTCTTTCCGTTGCCGTCTCGATAAGATACCCTCAGCGTTTTCTCTTACTAGGTAAGCCACCACTCTCTTCTATTTATCTTCCAGATACCTTTCAACCCACTCCCACTTTGAATGATGACTTGAGTGCATTTGGCTCGAGTATGGCTCGGTGTCCGGCGTTTATATCATTCTGATATCTCTGCTACGCACTGGGTCGTCAATGATGTAACATCTCAGCTACCTATATTTCTTTGTCTGAAATTCGCAACACAATCATGCTTCTTTCCATAGCCATTCGCTGTTGGATCTCGCGCTGACTGTCCTTGCTTCCAGGTTATTAATTTTGTGTATACTTTTTGATCATTCGATAGCAAACAACATCAGTTGTACTAACTAGATATCTTCCCCAATAAAGGATTAATGCATGTGACAAACTCGATTTGTATGAGGACTTGAAAAATGAATTTGAATCTCAAGTACGTCTTTGATTACTCGCAGCCAGTGCTGTCCATAAACTCATCTTGAGAAAGCAAGGTGTTACCGTATACCCGAATGGACACCTGGTTTCTAGGATTAGCGATTACATCATTTACAGTGTAGAGGCTGGTGTCATTGACAAGGTAGTCGCTGAGTATGGCCCATGTATGTCTTTGAAGCCGAACCGCCGCGCCCCAGCATTGCTCCCTTTTCTACTGTTACTCGACAAACGTTGTCTGACGCCTGGAAAGCCACCAAGCTCGGCGCAATCGTTGGAGGTCAAACGTCCTGCAAGGCCCCGGAGCTTGCTGCATTCGATAAGCATCTTCCCCCGGATGTAGAAATTGTATCCTGCCATTCGCTCCATGGGCCCAAGGTCAACCCCAAGGGCCAACCACTGGTATGCTTGCGTGATTGATTGATTGATACCTTTCAATGATGGTGACAAGGATCATCGCAATGTGGCCGGTACACCCCCTAGTAACATACCTTGCTTCCTATAGGTCCTGATCCAACACCGTGCGTCCGATGAGAGCCTCAGATTCGTCGAAGAAGTCCTATCATGCTTCGGCTCCGAATACGTCTATCTAACGGGAGAGATGCATGACCGGATCACCGCCGACACGCAGGCGGTTACACACGCCGCCTTTCTGAGCATGGGTACGGCTTGGCAAGCAAACAATCAGTTCCCCTGGGAATTCTCCCGCTGGGTTGGAGGCATCGAGAACGTCAAGATCAACATCACCCTGCGCATCTACTCCAACAAATGGCACGTGTATGCGGGCCTGGCCATTCTCAACCCGGCGGCGAAGAAGCAGATCCGCCAGTATGCCGAATCGGTGACCGAACTCTACAAGCTCATGATCGAGGGCCGTCGCGAAGAGCTCAAACAGCGCGTCAAGGCGGCGGGCGAGGCCGTTTTCAAGGCGGGGACCGAGAGTCAAGAGCTGCTGCTGAAGGACGAGGTGCTCGATCGCTTCTCCTTGTCGAATGGTCCGCGCGAGAAGACGCCGCCCAACAATCACCTCAGTTTGCTTGCCATCGTCGACTGCTGGTCCAAACTCGGAATCGTGCCTTATGACCATATGATCTGCTCAACACCTGTAAGAACCCCTGTCCTCCCCGGGTATCTGCCCGCCGCGTGCGCACGCGGAGGTCTAGTATATTGCCCTCATCCCCTCCTTCAGTCTCACTCACACTTTCGTGTCTTCACAATCCAAATAGCTCTTCCGTCTCTGGCTAGGTGTCACAGAGTACCTGTTTCGCAGCCCCGAGCTCCTCGAGGAGGCTCTCGACACCGCCATCGATGACAAGACGTTCCGGTCCGACGACTTAGAATTCACTTTCGCAGCGCGGGTAAGTAACTAGACTTTTGGACCTGTTCCACTTCCTCCCTTCCCCCCTCCCTCTCGACCGACCCGGATCTCCGTGGGGCCAGCATCTGTCCGCGGGGGCTTATGCAAGTTTTGCATCTGCCAATCCCTGTCGCTCTTTCTCGTTCTCTCCCCTCGGCCGTATATGCGCTGTTTGTCGAGCCCCCCTGTCGAGCGTTCGTTCCAGAATATCCCACTGACATTATGTGACCATTTCTGATAGGCGTGGTCCGACTGTGTCTCTTTCGGTGATTTCCAGTCCTACCGCGATCGCTTCGAACGTATCCAGCAGTACTTCGCCCCGCGATTCCCCGAAGCCGTCAAGCTGGGCAACGAAATGATGAAGACGATCCTGGAAAAGACCACCCCCGGGAATTCCTAAAATTAGAAACCCGCTTTGCCCCCCGGGAAAACTGTATCAAAATGAGAAAACATGACAGCTTTTCCCCCAAATCACGAAATGATAAGTCAAAAATCAGCCCACTTAAGAAAAGGGCAAGCCACTGGAACTTGGCGGGACGTCGGGTAGCGCGTTTGGAAACATCCGCGCGCCGCGGGGGGCCCGGAAAGGACCCAACCATAAGAGAAGTACGGAGCTCCGTAGGGAAGCGGAGAGTGAGAAGAGTGCCAAAGGGGGCTCCTGCTCTTGTACCGTAGTTGGGTAACATTGTTGTTAGCGTATTCCTGGAAACAGAGAATAATGTAGTATAACCATCACAACTGAGTGGGGTGGCAATTTTTCTCGAGACCATGTGGTGGGTATGTGTATGTGTATGTGTATGTGCGTTTGTGCACTAGCGCATAAGTGATTTTGTTTGTTTGACCTTAATAATATCTAATGGCGGATGTCGAGGTGCTTTTCGAGTATTATTGAACGTCGTCAATGATGCATTGCTCTTCCACACAAGTCAGGTCGGTCCAGGGGTTCGCTTGCGCACGGGGTTTATTTTCTGGGGGGGGGTGCAATCTATTTGATCGGCTGAGCTTTATCCCCTTCAGGCAATTCGCATAGGTACGCTTCGTCGTTTCATGGCTGTGGTGGAGAGTGAGTGCAGGTCCCACTGGGCCACTGGCGATTTAGGCTAAGCTGAGAGCTGGATTTGCTGCTTCTTCCAGGCAAAGCTAGTCTATCAGTATCTGGATTAGCAGCTCGAACCCCTCCGTAGTTACTTGATTGCTAGGCTGCTAGCAAAGGAGGCTGTCGGGTCGTACCGTACCTCGACTAGTCGATTAATCAATCGACTGCGCATGATTTGATATTCACATGGCAATAGCGTGTCAAAGTGCCAATGGACATGGGGGGAGGGGGAGTGGGCATGGGGATGAATTCTCCGACATGCTTCTTAAGGTTATTGCTGGCATTGTGGCGCCTTAGTACGGTAGGCCTAAACGGCAGTAAGCTGATTAGGGTGAACGGACGCTCCGAGTGGCCGTCTGTCATCTGTTTGATTCTTGACATTTATTATGTCTTTGTTTTCATGGAGGTAATAGGGGAGTTGATGATGCTGATCTAGTTAGAAGTATGGGAGCACTCCGGACGATTGACTTGTTCGAGGTACCGTCGACGAAGGACGGGTCAAGAAATGTATACCGAGGGCCGGTGTCAGGCCACATCTGGCAGGAGGTCCTCTATTCCAGTCTCATGGATCGCCTAATATGTTCAATGTTCAATGTCAAAGTCTAATGATGCTAGTATTGTGGTATGCTCTACGGAGTACACAAACAAAATGGCTTACTTGCACCCCTGCATAGAAACAATATATTGCAGCTCAACCCGCTTCAAACCGATTGACATTTGCCCATATTCATTCAACTTCCATGCTGACTGACCCCCGGGCACTCACCTCCGATGGTCAATTCACCAAAAGACTTAGTTGTAGTGGTAGTAGGACTGGACATTTGGTACTTGGGGGGGTCCTTTTCTGACATTCCACAAAAGATCCAAGCGCAGGATAAAGTATCTGTCTGCCTTCCGCATCCCCTCCCTCTCCGTCCCCTACGCCACCCATAAGTGGAGTATGCTGATAATTGAGAACTTTAAGAATGATACGAGGTTACGAGGATTTTGGTAGCATGGTAGCATGACGCGGGACAAACGAAGGGGACGGGAAAGGAGCGGAAGGATTTGCAAGCTCAGCCGTGTTTGATGGCAGATGTGACTGGTAGAGGCAAACCAGCTTTGAATCGAAGTCATCTCCAAGAGGTCGGAATCGGCTGGAAGGAGAGGGAGAGAGTGAACAGTCCTCTGCCCAGCCCAATGCCCAGAAAAGACCAGTCAATGTGACGGCAAAAATTACTACTGGCAAGAGAGAGAAAAAGAACAGAACTTCGAAACCACAGCTTCCACACCCTTCAAGCCTCAAAAGAATGCAATGACAGTATTTTTAGTCACCAGCAGATGATGTCGTCGGTCGAGTCTAGTGAGTTTCTATCACATGGGCTGCTGGCCTGCTGCGCTAGCGCTCCGTAAACTAGCAGTGGCTGCAGTGCCAATTTGCATGGCAGAATTTTTATGGAGCATCCCGTCCCCTTCAGGTTCTCTCTTCCCCCCTCTCTTTTTTTGTTTTTGTTTTTGTTTTTCTTTCTTTCCTCTTTGGGGAGGAGGCTGGCTAAGAATAACAACTGACTGGGACGTGGATTGATGATTGATGATGCTATGATGGAAGACCTCTCTGTCATTGGATTGATGCTTTCCAAGCGAGACCACTTAATCAAAGCGATGACAGGCTCAGGATTCCAAAACAAAGGGGCTGCACGCCGGACTCCGCAGCTAAGTGGTCTTGCTTTTTCCTGAAACAAGGGCTACGCATAATCTGATTCCCACATGTGTACATCATGCTGTGGTCTAGCGAGATACTTACTCCGGACTGGACAATGTCATTCTGTATGAGTGAGTGTTGACGTGCATAGTCGTACAGTACTGTACATGACCTGCCTTCACCCTCAAACGTCAAGCTACCGACTTTCGATCGAAGGATAGAAAAAGAGAATGCGAGACCTGGTGTCTTGTACTTAGTATAATGTAAGGGTAGCACAGCATTAGGAGCGCATAAATAAAGTTTGTCGTTCTCCTTTCGCATGGGCAATGGACGAACGAACCCCCTTTTGCGATGCGAAAAGGAATCGCACGGGTAAAAGCCTAACTGTTTACCACCCAAGGTTGCGTCGGCTGACTACTCCCCTATGTCAGGAACGGCAAAACCACCGTCTTGAAAGCTTGCAACAATTCGAGTTCCGTCGACCGTGACCGTGGAAAAGGCCAGTATGGACTTGGGTAAACGAAAGAGAAAGAAAAAAGGTTTCCTCCTTTCCCATCATTGGTTCCGAGCTTCCGGTGGCCCACCACTTGCTGCGATTTGCTGTGCGTAGAGGAGGAGCCCGCGGCGAGAAGAACCGCCCTGGATCGGTGAAAATACGACTTGTTCCCGAGATCCGATAACTTGGTCTTAGCTACGGGAGGCCGATGCTGATTGGCAGTGACGGCACTTCAGGACTGAACCATCCGAGTAAGACGAGCAGGTAGCCACCCAGCTTTTCAGGACGAACAGGGTCCATGATTGGCGCCAGGAACAATAAGCGGAGCAAGCCGGACGTCTCTCTGCGTCTCTGGGCTCCCAGCTTTCTGAACTAGTGCGTAGGTAAGAACTCAGTTTTGGTTGAAGTAAGTGGCGGAAAGGAATGACACGATGGTTTAGGGGAAAGCCATGTTGATCCCGGGGAGAAGGATTTAGGTCTGGAGACTAGAAAGAGGGGAGGAGAGAGGCGTCCCCCAGGGAGGTGGGGGGTGGGAGAGGGTGGAAGGGAACCTGAAGTTTACTAGTACTGAATTGAATCCAGTTCTTCACTTCTCCACATGGAATGGATATACGGGACGTAACCGTTTGCCGGCCCTTTCCATCCAAAGCAACGAGCAACCTGTTGGTCGGGCCATAAGACATAATGGAAGCTGTCAAGGACTTTATGTGAAGTCTAGAACGAGCTGGTCAGCCACTGCTGGGAAAGGATGCGAAAGAACGTGTTAATGCCTCAGAACGGAGGTAGTACCAGTGCAGAAGTACTCCGTAGTCGGGAAAGGAGGTGGAAAAGACGGTGCCGGCGGAGGAAAGGGAAACACGTACCGGTACACGGAAATGGGAGAGAGAGAGGAAGAGTCAATTGGAGAACAAAAAAAGGTCCAATTGAGTCCCGCCCACAATCCTGCGGTCTGATTGATCACCTGCCGTTCTCCGACCCAATGGTCCCTTTAGTAGGTATCTGGTATGCCCCATCCCGACAGTTGAAAATCATGGATGCTGCACAATTGAATAATAATATTAATCATAATAAAAATAAATCAAAATAATGCCCAGCCCGAATACTCCGTACAGTTTTCCCAGGATTATGACCTACTAGATGACCTAGATGACCTAGACAGGGCTAAGACCGTCTACTACTGCCTAGGAAGGAGGAGTCTAATTTCAAAGAGTGTTGAAGACAATAAGCTACCTTGGATTCGCCAATACCTGCTAGTATGATTCCAGGCATTGCAGTGACCTCTCTCATCCTGTATCCAGACAAACCCATGAAGCACAGACCATGTGGCCATTCCACGCCCAAAAAAATGCCCACACTACGTAGGAATACGTACCAGGCAAGATACCCAGGTCCCAAAGAGGCGTGGCAGCCCCGGGGAACTTAAATCTGAAAAAGCCCGAGGATTTTCGCCATGATTGTCAATCTGGAAAAAACTAAAGGTACCCGCTTGCCGGGCATATCTATCTGACAATCTCCCATTCTGATTGACGATCTTCTCTCCTTTCGTGGGCTCGATTTTGCTTTCTATCGTTGCTCGATCTGAGTAAATGAGTAGTCCCGATTGTCACTCCCTTGAATTGCAAGTCTCTCCTTTCCTGGTCAGTTTTTATCCGGCCATCTGAAGTGGTGTTCGCCCGCATGGTAGTGTGTGATCGTCATCCTTCAACTCGTTGAGATTGTCATGCAGACGGATCTGTCGCATGGCATTTGTGGCAACGCTATGTGGCTTATGACAACTATATGCGATTCTATTATCCGAGTCCTTCAAGTATGACTACTCCTCTTGTCCTCTTGTTCGAGGATCTGTTCCATTCCAGATCTCTCTCTATTCCCGTCATCACTGCTTTCATTCTCTCGCTATGCTCAACGCGAGAATATCGCGCGGACCATGCTCTGCTCTCTCGTCATGTCATGGAGCAGTAGTAGAAATCCCATTTGGTTGTCGGTCGTTGCTGACAGACATTCTTGTGCAGTGATGCTTTTTGCCTCAATATACTTCCGAACACCAAGATCCCAGCAGCAAAGATCCCAGCCCTAACATACTCAAAACTCTTCCGTCACCAAGAGCAAACCACGCCTATTCTTCGAGATCTCCAGCAGCAACACTCCTTGACCTCAAAAACGCTCTAAACCATTATTTGTATTCGATTATAACTATTATACCGAACGAATTGGATTCGTGCTGCCTTCATTCTTTTCGACCACATTTACGCTAGAATACTTCTGCCGCCTTCCCTTGATATCCAATCTGTAGACGGCCTGGTTCCGTCGTCATTACCGTCATTATGAAACCGTCTTCTTTCCTTATTGCTGCCGCGAGTGCGCTGGGTCTTGGTAAGGCTTTCTTCTATGTGCAATACTTACTTTCCGGCTGACTCGCAGCTTCTCAGCACGCACATGTTTCAGCAGGGTTATCCATCACGATCAGAGGTCCTATGACTATGAAGATGTGTCCTACAGCATTGACGTACCTCAGAACACATCGTCCACAGGGTCAGGCCCTATCTATCTCCGGCTCAGAGCCCCGCCTGGCGTCAAATGGTTCGCATTGGGCCAAGGATCGCAAATGACAGATGGAAACCTCTTCATCATCTACTCTGCACCAGACAATAACGTCACGCTCTCTACGAGGAGAGCAACCGGTCATGTCCAACCTCTGTACGATTCTAGTATTCAGGCGTACCTCGAGGAGGGATCTGGTATATACGACGGAATCATGACAGCGAATATTCGCTGCGACAATTGCACGACTTTGGCCAACGGCAAGAGCGCTGTTGGAAAGTCCAGCTCGTGGTCTTGGGCATTGACTTATGGGCCTCCACTGGCGTCTACCAATGTTTCGGAGATGCTGTACCAACACGACTGGCATGGGTCTTTTACATTGGACTTGGAAAAAAATGCCGGTAGCAATTTCTCCAGTCCGTACTATGTTCCATTGCGCCTTTCATCCCATCCTTCGCCCTACTCCAACCCGCAGCAGGTCAGCGATACCATTCTTCACAAAAAGCGAATTGCGCACGGCGTAATGACCTCCGTTGCCTTCGTTCTCCTATTTCCTAATTTTGCGCTCCTCCTATACATCGTTCCATCGCGCCGCACCGTGGCATGGATTCATGCCCCTTTGCAGGCCTTTGCCGTGCTTTTGGCTCTGGCCGGGTTTGGGGTCGGGGTTTCTGTTTCAAAGGACCTCCAAGAGCTCGGTGGCTATCATCCAGTTATTGGATATGTGGCCGTTGGCGGAGTGGTGATTATACAGCCGATTCTGGGAATCATGCAACACCTGCATTTCCGCAAGACTGGCACGTCGTCACTTTATGGAGTCTCGCATCGGTACCTTGGCCGCTTTCTCGCAGCCCTTGGAATTATCAATGGAGGAATTGGCTTCCATTATGCGGCCACGAAAAACCCCGATATACCACCCGCGTCGCCACTCGCTTATGGTATCATCTGTGGGGCAATGTTTTTGATCTATATCGCTGTCATCGCCTGGCGTAGGCGCAAGAACAAGCGTCTTGCCGCCAGCAACATGACGTCGAAGTTTGCTGAAAGTAAAGGAACCTTGGCCAAAATGGACAACAGCAGTGATAGCACACTGGTCCAAGTACCACACGATACCGCCGATGTGCCGCGGAAGAAGTCGTGGGAACCATAGTTATATGATGGTTACACCGGCTATTATCACGATCCTTATCAGCCCATCAGCCATTTTTGTACCACCAAGCGTACATTCCCGTTAGGTCTTGCATATCCGGAGTTTGTCCCACAGCATCTTGGAATATACTAATTCCCCCGATCTCTCTTTTCATGTACTATGATGTTGCGTCGATGTAACAACTTCTTCTTTCTCTCAACTTATTTTTCTATTTTTTTGGTCTTTGTAATCCTACGGGATTCAACTATATGTACATATCTTCTTGGAACGAACTAGGTAGTCAAACATGATGTCTCATGAGTATGCTTTCGCCATAGATTATAAACCGGTGGTTCACCAAAATGTGCGAGTTTTACAAGATGGTACAAATTATGGTTGTAGTGGTGTCATGGATCTGGAACCAAAGACAAAATAACAGAAAGAAAAGAAGAGAAGAATAAAAGAAAGCAAGAAGAACAAACCGAACACCCCTCATTCAGTACGAACTCATCTCTGCGTGTTGTTGAAGGCCCGGTAGTTACGGGAGGTGTTGGCCTGAGGCGATAAGGCTGGGTTAGTCAGCCAACGGGCGCTGGCCAAGCCATGGATGAATCCAGGCTGAAACCACCAACAGTCGGATTTGAGAGAAACCCCGGTCAATGAAGCAGACAACTTGTTTTCTGGGACTAGTATCTTAAGTCTATCATCCGTTGCTTTGTGCTACATAACCAGGGTCTCATAAACCGCTCCTGACACTCCAATCGTCGCCGCCCTAGCCTCCCCAGCGTGACCGCCGCGAACCCGTCTCCCCTCTCCTCCCCTCCCTTCTAAAGTGCCCGCCGTCAGCCCCAGTGGACCGTTACCAGAGCCTTTCCTCCTTCTTTACCCTCGATATCTGGCTGTCTCGGTAGCGCTCGTGGACTCTCTGCAAACTCAATGCAGCGCTTCATTCCTTATTTAAGTCGCGACAGGTGATAGTCACTCCCATCACGCGGCTAGATGGAGCTCTATGGCGTCCGGATATAACTCAGGATTCTCCGCGACATCAGTCCAGCATCGTGCCCTGGGTGATGGACCTTCATACTCTAGTCTGGAGGATGGCTCCGCGGACGGTAGCTGGGCCGAGCCCGCCACGAGACCCGGGAGAAATGCTCGCTCTGAATCTGGAGGCAGTGCGACCATTGGCGTCCGGGGAGGCTCGTTGACCACCTCGGTCGGAGCCCCTGGAAGCTTTAGCTCTGAATTGAAGAGCATGAAGTCATCGCGGAGCACTACACCCCGTCCGGACGGAGCGCTGAATCGTCGACCGAGCAGCTTTATCGACCAGGATGATATGCCCACTTCCGAGGAGCGACAGGCTGTGATTCGAGACAAGATCGCGAAGGAGATGAAAATCAAGACGGGAACCGAGAACATGCTGGAAGCGCTACTCGCGAAGAATCCGAAACATACGAAAGACCAGAGATTAAGAGTTGAGTCGGAGCTGAGCTCATCGAACCGCAAGCTTGCAGAGCTGCATCATGAACTCGAGGAGGAGATGCTACGTGCGCAGGCGCCGTCTACCCCACCTCGAAGTCGCCTGTCGACCCTCTTTCAAAGCAGCTCCATGCGTTCACCTACTCGCAACAACCCAACGATCGAGGAAGCCCAGATTCAAGAGGGCGAGGCGGAAATGGAGTCACCCACATATGTCCTTGCAGAAACACTACAGGCCTTGGAAATTGAAGGCATGCCCCCGGATTATTACGTTGAACGTGCAAACAGTCTTGTGGAGCTGTTTAAGCGACACCCGACCTTAAAGTACGACCTCGAGTGGTCTGTGTTTGGTTTGCGCGTGCAAATCATGCTTCTCAGCGACAATAAAGAAGCGGTGGCGGCTGGATACAGATTGACACGCTACGCTATCGCGGACCGGAAGTCCCTCCAGATTATTCGATCGTTCCATACAGATGAGCTGGTAATTCTGTCCCTAGTCAAGGAAAGCAAGGCGAGCATTGAGCGGGAGCAAGCTTTGAAGTTCGTCAGGGCCTTCTTGGACGTCAAGGACGGTGTGCGAGAGATTTCGCGCGCCGTAGTCAGGACCATTGTCTCCGTCGCAGAGCACTACGAGGATCGTCTTCGGAACATCTCTATCATGACTCTAGCTGAGATTCTGGTGAAGGATCCCGAATTGATAGCATATTCTGGGGGATTCGCTACCCTTCATGACGCCTTAGCAGAAGGAACGTTTGGCGCCTCAGAAAGTCTCGTAGCGAGTTTCCTCCATGTTCTCGATACCCCCCACAGCAGGAAGCATCTACGAGGAGGTTGTGAGCTAGAGGCAGTTCTTGCACCGTTTACTGACTCCTTGTCGGACTCGGTCCGCAATGGGCGCTTGAAGTCTTCAGCTAGAGCTATCTCGGCAATGCTCAAGACATGGCCGGGCTTGATTATACTCGCAAGAAACGGAGCCAAACCTTTGCAATCGCTACTCGACTCATTACATTACCCGGACCCGCAGGCAAGAGATTTGATCATGGAACTTCTGTTTGACGCATTAAGAATCAAGCCACCATCATGGTCATCATCTTTCCTGGCTGGACGAAGGCTCACAACTTATGGGCGGGTGGCCAACCTCAGAACAGAATCGGACACGAAACATGTTCAAGCATTCTATAACGATGATGGTAGTCGATTCGATTTGACGGCGCATTTCTCAACATTGATTCTTGCCACCCTTGTCGAGGCCGGGTTGTCGAAGGTTCTTAAGGTCATTCACTTGAAACTACAACCGATGCTGATACAAATTTAGGCACTTTCGGATCTCATCGAGGACGAGACAGACCTGTCACTCAGGCGCAAAGCCACTCTACTCCTCACCGAGGTATTGAAACTAGCGCATCATTCATTGCCTCAACATATCAGTGCGAAGCTCCAAGTTCTGCCCCACCTCCTGCCAGCTGCCATCAAATTTGATGTCGAAAATCATGACATCTCTACTTCGACAATATATCAAATAGACAGCATCAATAGAACATTGGCTCGCAGCTTCCCAAACGGCGCGGGACGTTACAATGTCGAAGTGGACATTTCCGCTTCTCTCCTCACTGTTGACCAAGGCAAGGAGAAGTTGAGCCCTTCTATGGATGAGACGCAGTTCCGCAACGCCATCCTGGAGACGCATGTTTTGAACACCGTCAACTACCTGAAATGGAAGTGGGACCTGATTCACCGCATTGTCGAGGGGCCTTTGACCAACCCCAAGCGTCTGGAAGAAGCTATCAAAGGCTCGAAGTTCATGAAGCGACTGATCGGATTCTATCGACCTTTCAAGTACAGATTCTCCATGCTACCAAACACGAAGCCAAACCAGCGTTATGTTCGTACAGGGTGTGCACTAATGCGCACACTCGTACAACTTCCGGAAGGCACGAAATACCTGGCCGAGAACAAATTTTTGAGGCAAGTCGCTGAGTGTCTTGCCCAAGTCGATCGCATGAGTGGTCTCACATCGTCTGCTCCCCTGTTCTCCAAAGAACAGATGGCTAGCACGTTGAGCGGAGGGTACTTTGCTATACTGGGAACGTTGAGTAGTGACGCGAACGGGTTGGCTATGATGGAACGATGGCATATGCTGAATATGTTCTACCATATCGTTGAGCTTCGAGATCGGGACGACCTGATTCAGACTCTTCTTGGGAATATGGACTACACCCAGGAAAGTCACCTTAGGGTCATTCTGTCCAAAGCCCTAACCACTAGTTCCAAGGAGATTCGCATCTTCGCGACTCGACTCCTACGAAAGTACGCTGTTGGAAATGTTTCTCTCCCCGCTCTAGCATCTGCTGGTAACAATGCGGACTGGGTGGTCAAGCTTCTCGTTACCCAGCTTTACGATCCCGACGTGTCTGTTTGCCAAGTGGCTGTGAAAATCCTCGAGGAGGCATGTAACCAACGTCACTATCTCGAATATGTGGTGAAGTGCCGGCCATCGCTAGATCATTTAGGTGAAATTGGGGCGCCATTGCTCCTACGATTCTTGTCCACCTCAGTGGGCTACCATTATCTCGATGGGCTGGATTATATTACCCAGGAAATGGATGATTGGTTTTTGGGTCGAAACGATGCTTATGTGGGCCTTGTTGAAGCAGCCCTCTCGCGTGCCTATGTTGACCAGCCACGGAGGAGTAGCTTTGTCCCTGAAGATCTGGTTGATCTTCAAGACATTGGACTAGTGCCGCCCCATTTCTATAGAGAGCTCGCCCGAACCGCTGAAGGATGCAAGCTTCTAGAGCACTCCGGTCATTTCAATGAGTTTGCTTGGACAATTCGCGATTTCCAGCTGGATGAAGAAGACACGGAGGCTCTTCTTAAGGTCAAAGGCTGTTTGTGGGCCGTGGGTAACGTCGGCTCGATGGAACTAGGTGCGCCGTTTCTGGAGTCAGATATCGTTCAGCATATTGTGAAGATTGCAGAAAGTGCGGAGGTCCTCACGATGAGAGGGACGGCTTTCTTTGTTCTAGGGTTGATCTCACGTAGTCGACATGGTCTCAAGGTGTTGAGAGACTTCGGCTGGGATTCCGCTCTCGACCACAAGGGAAACTCGCTGGGCCTCAGTCTTCCCACCGACTTCTATAAGCTCTTCCTGGTAAGGAACCCACTCTAGATGATCTACAGAGGTGCAATGACTGATGAGTGGCAACTATAGGTCGACTTTCCGTCGCACTCTAGGACCCGTGAGGCCAAGCGCACGTCTCAAGAGAGGTTCAAGGAGGCCACTCTCGATCCGGATCCCGCCAACCAGAAGATCTTGAAGCTTATAGTAGATATGGGAAACACGGTTCTATCGAAGAGAGCAGCGAATGATCTCAATAAGTAAGTAACATTGTCCGGACCATCCATGCAGATCCCGGAAGCTTACGCTCCAAACCTTTATAGCATCAAATCGAAGCAACCAGACCGGTTCTACCAGCCTCACCTCTTTCGCAAGACTCTCAATATTCTCGAGAGCCATCATTTTCGCTTGCCCGCTCGCCGCTTCGCACTTGATCTGTTCGATAAAAGCGTTCTGCGGCGCATCGTTACCGAAGATGATTCAGATACCGACTCAGATACTACCTCATCCCAAGTTTCTGGATGACGAGTCTCCGTGGGCGTGATATGAAATCGCGCCTTCGATAGCACGGTTTAACCTCATCAGGCGGGTCGGAACAGCTATGCGCAATCCTCAGGTCTGCTCTTACCTTCATGTACTCGGCAGCAATTCCATCTCTTCCAATCTCCTCATCGCTTTGGCCTCGGCGTTGGACGGTTCAGTCATGAGCAATGAAAGGATGCCAGCATTTTCATTTTTGCTCTTTTCTACCCTGATTACCCCGGCAGTTACTTTGCTTTTTTCCACCTACATAAGTAGGTGCAGTTCGACCCTCTGCATAGTCAATGACTCAGTCTGTTAGCGATGGGCCTGGGGAGCATTCTTGTCATATCATTGCTCAACTTATGGTTCACGACGAATGTTCTTTCCTTCCTCCGGCATCTGTATGTACTGTATATACATCAAGCACGAGCGTTGATGTCCGTAGATAACTACTTGGTGTTCTCTCGGATGCACAGACCCAAATTCTAATTGAAGACGTAGAATGTCGATTTGCAAGTACCACGTTCACTCCCTATAGAGACGAGAATGGCTCCGACAGGACAGAATGGTGAGTTTAGTCGAGCCATTGATTAGAAGTTCGGGTCCCTCGATTAACTGCGGGGGAGCTAACCCAAATAACCCAAATAACCCACCCAACTTAATTCCCGCGGCTCTCCGCCCACCTGGAACAAAAACAATCATTCTCTACTTCGAGGCCTCAACCTCTGCCGTCGCTCTTGCTACATTTCAAGCAAACTATTACACCTTTCACACACTAGAAACTATCGTCGCTTTCACCAACCATTCATCTTACTGCACTTTCCGATGGAAGATCCCGACGCTGCGTCGGCATCTCTACACGCCACTTCCGGATCGGACGATGATCACTCCCGCGGCATGAGCAGCGCAGCGTCACATGCGCTGGGACCCGAGCCGTCACCAGCAACCGCGAGCGTGGCCGCCGCATTTCCTGTTCTGCCTCATGCGGTGATCCAAAGCATACAATGCGCACGTTGTTCCAAGATCCTCCGCTCGCCGCTGCGGCTTCCATGCGGAAATTCGATCTGCCGGTCATGTCTCCCGCCGATCTATCAACGTACGGGTATCACGTATCCCGCGAACGAGGAGCGGAAGCATGGATTCTTATGCTACTGGGGGAAAGCAGATGCGTGTTCCGGAGAGCATTGCCTGGGTGATTGTGGAGCGGACGTCTTACTGAGTCGACTGGCCGATGTTTTCGAAGAGGCTCTGGCGGACGACCGCGGAGATGGTTCCAGCGGAAGCGCGTCTACAGTGGCGTGGAAAATCTCCCGAGATCCACCACCGGAACTGACCACGGAGTGTGAATATATCGGGGCCGATCTGCTGAAGGGCGTCTACCGTCTAGTCAAAGAGGGCCGGTTCGATTATGATGCGTCGGAGGTACACTATTCGGTCGGGGACTCGGCTGCTGACAGCTCAACCCAGCGCTCATATACGAAGCTCAAGAATGCGATCAGGAACGAGTTGGACTGTCAAGTGTGCTACTCGCTTATACTGGATCCGTTGACTACGCCATGTGGTCACACGTTCTGTCGCGACTGCGTCACTATGGTGATGGACCACAGTGATCTCTGCCCTGTTTGTCGCCGGAAGCTCAACTTGTCCTTAACTTCCCGAAGAGAGCCCAGCAATCTGAGGATCTCGACTATCCTGGAGACGCTATTTCCGGAGCAGCTGGCGGTGCGGAAAGATGGCACTTCCGATGATGATGATGATGACGCGGCCGCCGCTGACGGTGAACAAACGCTTCCCCTGTTTGTGAACTCGCTGTCTTTCCCTACCATGCCTACCTTCCTGCATATCTTTGAGCCTCGATATCGCATAATGATGCGGAGGGTCATGGAGACGAGGGGCAAGAAATTCGGCATGGTCATGTACAACCGTGGCAGTCGGCCTCAGCCAGGATTGGGACGGGCTGAGTTTATGCAATATGGTACAGTCTTGATGATTGATCGCTATGAGCTTCTGCCAGACGGTAGAAGTCTGGTGATTGCCACTGGTGTCTCCCGATTCAAAGTAAGCAGCTCGGAGGTGGTTGACGGCTATCATGTTGGCAGGGTACAACGTGTGGAAGATATGCCAATCACTGAAGAAGAGCGACTTGAGTCATTGGAAACCTCAGTCACAATGGAAGCGCCGCCGGCGGCAAGTGCTGATCCTGCAGATACCCCTATCGAAGTCCTGCCGACCCAGCAGCTATTCCAATTGGCTCTAGACTTCATTGACGAACAACGTCGTAAGGGAGTCGCGTGGCTTCATCCACGCGTCCTGATGGCCTACGGCGATGCACCCACTGATCCCGCTCTGTTCCCCTGGTGGCTTGCTAGCGTCTATCCTCTGTGGGAAGACGACAAGTATTCATTGTTATCAACGACTAGTGTCAGAGACCGGTTGAAGGTTGTTGCACGATGGGTCAAAAAGTCAAGGTCTCGAGAATGGTAGGTAGAGGCGCTTGCCATCCAAACCTGAATAATGTTCTATGTCACTCACAATGGTCTACTAATCAGGCTGGCCGGTTCTCGCCCATCTTTCTCTTCTGCCTTATGACTAGCCGTCCCTCTGCTCATCTTCTCCCTTGTGCCATTGATTCTAGGTCCTGGTCTATCATTCTTATCGCCATCGACGGCGGTCTTCACGTCGTTCACACCGTTTACCATGTCGGTCTCCATTTCCTTTGGGAATACTCGTGCATCCGAGACTTCTCGACAGGAGCCGGGGCAAAGTCGGGACTCGGAGATGTACATCCCGCAGACCTTGGTATTAGGCATCTTCCTGGCGATATTTGTGACCCAGATTGCCATCAACATCATCCAGATCAGGCGCGCAAGACAACGGGGTGTAGTAGGGGGTGGACGAAATACGAACCTAGGAGCTGTAGGAGCTGAGATACCAGCTGAGCGAGAAGATGAGCCTGGGGAAATTGAAGTTGATCCCGCTCCCGGCGAGATTGGATGAAGGGCCAATGACAGTAAGCCACTAGTGTGGTTTGAGCGAAGCAAGCGATCGCTTTGATATTCAAGGTTGATGTCTTCGAAGCAGAGAATCATCGAATCACCAGCATGAACACTATGCAAAGGCATGGTCCCCAGCAAGCACAAAAGTGGTCTCCGCTATGCACCTGCTACCAGCAAAGGCGGTGGAATCCGAAGCCCGCTGCTTTGACCGGTCCTGAAATGCGATCATCCTAATGCCAGCCATATAGCAGCAGCGGTGCCTGTGTATCTCGTGGTGTGTGGGGAAGCGTGATGCCAGGAGGTATTTTCCATACTACACAATCTATGCGAAGGGTAGTGGATATGAAAATGATACCCAATCCACGGACTTAGTTCCAATATGATTACCTTTTTATCTACGCACCTGCATACATGCATCAATTCTATCCCGACCGAGACACATGAAGCGTAGACTAAAGCAGCAAAGTAAATCAGTTGCACCTTGCGTCGAGGCCGTGCCATCCCGCAATCCATAGATACGAAAAAGAACAATGTTGTCTAAGAGGGGTCTAGCAAGATACCCCGGCCACCTTAAGGAATACTTGGCCCAAAGGCATTGTAGTGGTTCTGACCGAACATGGCGCAGCCACGATTTGCCGCTTGAAAGGGGCATCCGGAGCCACTGGTCACACAAGCGCTGGCTGTTGATGTCGAGGACAAATGAAGATAAGTTACATCTCTCTCATCATCCTCATAATCGATAAATTCGTGGTCATGTGCGAGTTGATCGCTTTTCTTGCCTTTAATCCCGAGGTCGTCACTTCCAATGTTGCAGAAAAGCAAGCACTATTATAGAGAATGGGCATTGAACCAATCTAGAGCGATCTCAGGTAGTAGATACTAGTAGTCAATCCATGGACAGTTTCGAGACATCGAAGAGGTGAATGGAAACCGCGTGGGCTCGAAGAGCTGGTCGTTTGCGCCTGCGCAAACGAGACCACCAACCCATGTGAAGTGGCGCGCTGCGATATCCGATAGACTGCCTTCTCTCCTGCTTGCTTTCCCCTCCTTCACACTATCTCTATTCCCTTTCACTCCTTTCCATAGCTTGTCCAACATTTTCCATTTGCTCTTGAGTGAGTCACTTTTCTGTATCCTTCCTCCCACCCCTACATTACCGTCATGATCAATACCTGGACCGTTGATCGCTGGTCTTGACTAACGCAGCACGCAACACACCCACTACACAGGCGTCCGTTGTAGCCACGATGTCGGCGTTTGTTTCTCCTGATAATAAAATGAACTCGGAGTCCCCTACTGGAAGGTGCGCCTCTTTTCCGTCAATGGTCCAGAACTAAATGTACATAACTTATGCCTCGCTAGATTTGATGCTGTGTGTACAGGACATCGCTCCATTGGCCGAGTGACTGAACGCTGCCGTATAGATCCAAGCCCTCCGAAACCTCTCGTCCAAATCAAACTCCGTGACCATCTCTGAAATCGAATACAAGCGCCTGGTAAGCATTCCACCAAGCCAGCCTCAGCTTTATGAGAGCATCGCCGACTAACAGGCTGTTGCTGTTGTTCCCAGCTCCAAGCGTCGCAGCAGTTCAGTACGTTGCTTGCTGGTGTCCTGCGGGCTTCGCAATCCTAATCTAACCTCGAATAAACCAGCCAAGTTGAAGAACTCGCTTCTCGAAGGGGGCTTGTCGCAGGAGACTCTCGATGTGAGAAATGTCGGCATGCAGGTCTGCGCTTTCACCTACTGATTTCGTGCAGATCTTGATCTATGGCCCTCCGTCGACTCCTCCAGGTATTGGAGGCCACACGGCAGGTACCGCGTCCCCACAGCGAGGGCATACAAAGCGTGAAATTGTTCCGCGTCGCAGAAGCTCAGATGAGAGCTCCGATCTAGATGCTGCATCTGAAGACGACCACGATGATGCCACCTCGGTCGACTCGCCCACCAGCGACGGAAAAGCAGAGGACCACGACAATTCATCCAGGAGCGAGGCATCTGCGGCTACCCCTACTGATCAACGCACTGTGATGATCCGCAACCTGCCCGACCGCGTCACTTACAGAGACGTTGTCGACGCTGTGAAGAGTGGTGGTGCCCTGGTTCATGTCTACCTGAGGGCTCGTGAGCGGATTGCAAGTGTTTCGTTTGTGGAAGAGGCTGCGGCCCGCTCCTTTCTGCAGCATAGCAACACTCACGGCCTGTTGGTGGCTGGCAAACGCGTAAGTGCAAGTCTGTTGGTCGGAGACACCCCCCGGCTGAGGCTCATTTATCTTGCTAGGTCGAAACGCTATGGAACGACCGGCAGTTCTACGTCCCTCCCTATGTCAGAAACAAGATCTACAATGGAGCCTCGAGAAACCTAGTTCTCTACAACGTGCATCCGAACGTCACCGAGTGGGTCATCCGGAAAGATCTGGAGCATATCCACAACCTAATCGTAATCTCGGTTAAATTCAACAATGGCAATGCCTACATATCCACCAACTCCGTGCACAATGCCCTGTTTGCGCGATCCTGCATGATGTCCCGTTTCACGTACAAGGGTACGAGAATTGGGTTCTATCCAGACGAGTGTGCGGAATCGCAGGGTAAGGTACCCATCGGGCCGAGACACGGAGTGCCAGATGCTTCGGCTGGGAAATCCACCTCGGTACTCAACCGCTTCCATATCCTGTCCCTTGATGGGGCTGATGACGATGAGAGCGAAGATTACGATGGCCATGGTGTAATGAGCGGTCACCTTAACGGCAACGTCCGCTGGACAGACAACAGCGTTTCTGCCTAAGCCCTTCAAAGCACCCTCTCGACCTTTACTTGCCTACGTTCGCTGAACTTCTTCCGTATCATGTCATCGGTGGTCTACTGCATCGAACAATCTGTTGCATCTCATTCGATGCAGCTGAATTTGGAGTTTAAGTCAAGAGCATGCGAGTCTGCGGGGGCATTGCATCAATGTCATGTTAGCGCGAATCAGAACCGGGTCAACTGGTGTCCGTTTGAGGTGGGAAGGATTGCATGGAACTGGGATGGGAGGGATGTTTATGTCAAAACCTCAATCTTATGTCGGGTGCGGGTCGTGGTTTCGTTTTGAGATAGCTTAGCATACTATGCTTTCCTACTAAGACAGCATACTGATAGTCAGAATATCCACCAGCTTGGGGTCCCGTGTGGGCAGATGGTCATTAGATAAGTTTGAACAGAAGCTAAAGCTTGATCCACTTTTAGGCTGAGAGACAGATAGACAAAAAAAGAAATCGGGTGATATTTCAGATAATCCTGGCCTATACTAATTCCAGAGCCAGCATTGCACCGTATCAATCCATACAACCACTGTGACAACCCAGACCTTCCTCTATGATCGAATTGTCCAGTGGCGGACATGGGACCACACCGCACCAGATCTCTCTCCACCCCAGAGTACAAACCGTTAAGACGACACCATTCTCCGTATCCTTTTTACCCGTCTACCAGCCCGCGCCCATTCCTGAAGAGGTCAGAAAATGGGGAGAGGGGGCGGAAGAAGCAAACAACTCTTTTGAAAAACACTTCTCTCCGAACCAAAGCCCACTTCTTCCTGGATTCGTGACAAGAAAAGAGAAGCAGCCAAGGAAGCGGAAGAAAAAAAGTGAATATAAACAGGCAAAGGAATACCGAGAAGAATTGGAGGAGCCGTTTAACGGTAGGACTTCTGGTAGCGGGAACGAGCACCGCGACCACCGAACTTCTTGGGCTCCGTGCGACGGTTGTCGGCAACGAGGAGTGTGCGGTCGTACTGGACAAGAGCCTGCTTGAGCTGGTTCTTGGAGTGCTCGTCGACGTACTTCTGGTAGTAGGCGACGATGGACTTGGCGATGGCCTGGCGGATGGCGTAGACCTGGGAGGTGTGACCACCACCGGTGACGCGGACGCGGATGTCGACGCCGGCGAACTTGTCGGCACCGACGATCAGGAGGGGCTCGTAGACCTATTTTTTGTTTAGAGGTGTTCGAGTCAGAGATTGGATCTTTCCTTGCGACGTAGTGGGTTGGATCGGAGGGTGTTTGGGTTCATGTAGATTTGGGGCCGGTGGTGGATTATGTATGTACCTTGAAGCGGAGGATCTCAGGCTGGACCAGAGAGAGGGGCTGGCCGTTGACCTTGATGAGACCCTTGCCTTGCTGTTGCCATTGTCAGTCTTTTGATGTTTGGCGGCTTTGCGGTTTGGATGGGTTGGTCGGGTGGGAAACAGATGGTGTCGTTCGTTCGTTGGTGCGTGCGGTCTGAATTGTTGAAGTCGATTTTCTCCGCATGTCTTCTCTTCTGAGGTTTCCAATTAAGTCGCAATGTTCCCCTCCTCTTTCATGTCGATGCGTTCCGTTTGTTGGTAATCCTCATCCCTTTCCAATTTCGATATCAATTTCTCCTCTGTAAATGCCCTTTTTGTCCAAGACTCATCGATTCGAAACCCGCGAACGAACGACACCGAATGTTGTAGTGTTGTGTTGTAGCCATTTGAAAAGTTTTGGATGTGGTGTTTTGCATACCTTGCAGTGGGCGACAGCGGTGGCTATACAAGTGCAAAGGTCAGTTCCATCTTATCCCAATAATTTGTTGCGCCCTTCCTCCCGGATTCGCGATCCATCCTTTTTTTTCCCATGTCCAAATCACCAAATCAACAAGAACTCACCCGTCTTCTTCTTGCCGAAGCATTGCACACTCGGGACGGAAGCCATGATGTCTGAATGGCCCTGTGTTGCTGGGGTGGGTGGGAAGTACGTCGGGTGGGAGAGAGGGTGCTGCGTCGTCGTCGATTGTCGTCCGTCGTTTTCCTGTTCGCGTATTAATTTTCTTCCCAGGGCGGGCTTGTGGCAGGTCGCGGCTGGCACGCACCGTGCGGACGTTTTCGCTTAGTGCGGTGCGCTAGGCCCGCTTTGGGCTAGAGCGGGTAGGGCTCGATGGGTGGTCACGTGGCTTGGGGGGGATGGCGGAGGGGAGGTTTGTCCGGTTGGCCGGGCTGGCCGGCTGGCTGGGACCTGGAGAGACTTGGGGGCCTGCAGAGATAGTGAGTTGCGAGTGTTGAGATATTCAGCGTCATTGGTTCTTCGTTTTTATATCGACATATTCAAGATGTCGCAGACTATTGGAAAGGTTATTCCATCCCCTCAACTCTTTCCTTACTTAATCAATTGCCTTCTTTCTTCTGTCTTGGTTGTCGTTGTTGCTGCTGCTGCCCTCAAACTGACTTTTTGATATTAAAAAAAAACCAGACCCGTCTCGCCTACTCGCGCGCATGGCACCACGTCGACGTGGGCAGTGACGGCCGCACCCTCGGCCGGCTGGCCTCCTCCATCGCCCTCGTCCTCATGGGCAAGAACAAGCCCATCTACGACCCCTCCACCGACTGCGGCGACTACGTCGTCGCCGTCGGCTGCCACGACCTCCGCACCACCGGCAAGAAGCGCCAGCAGAAGAAGTACTACACCCACACCACCCGGCCCGGTAGCCTCAAGAGCATGACCATGGACATGATGTTCGAGAAATGGGGCGGCGGCGAGGTCCTGCGCCGCGCCGTCCGCGGCATGCTGCCCAAGAACCGGCTGCGGGATAAGCGGTTGGCGCGGTTGAAGAGTGAGTAGCCCGTATATCAGGAGCGTGAGCACAAGAAGGCATCTTACTAATTATTTCTTTGTGTACGACAGCTTTCGAAGGTCTCAAGCACCCCTACGAGCAGAATATCATCAAGATCGGTGGGACGGGTGTTCAGGCTCAGGAGTCGGTCATCGGAAAGCTTCCCGAAGTGCAGCAGGCGTTCCAGGCGGCTAAGGTGGAGGCGTCGGCATGAGAAGAGTCGAAACTATCTGTCACGTTGCCAGGTGATTGAGATGGCTCTATCATCGTGCTATACCCAAGTGCCTTGACTGTTTCCTCCCCCTTCTTCTTCTTCGCGGATACCAAAAACCCGACTTGTGTATTCTGTTTTCCTGTACTTTTATATCCCGTACCATATCTTGTTTCCCTTGTTGTCACGAATACTTGCTAGCGCATGGGTGGGAGTTCTCAATGTTTCATTTCTTCTCTCTTTCAGTCCGAATCTATACATTCATCTGATTTGATGTGTCTTGAGGCGCCGGGCTTGAGGACTTTTTTTACTCTCTGCTGTCGATCTACAACACCTACTTACTCGAAGATGTGTCGTTGATTTTGCACCCGTACCAGTTTACTGGAAGGCTTGTGCTGTATCATAACCGATCAATCCAGTGAAATGCTATACCCCTATCCCAACGAAGGAACTATATACAAAAAAAGGTGGAAGGGGGTGTCTTTGAGCCGGAAACAACTCCCAAGTAACCGCTGGAAAACGACAATAGCAAGGAAAAAAAGTCCAACAAAGAACTACACTACAACTTGGCCTTGGACTTGCGACCAACCGTGCACTTGATGAGACCATTGGGTCCACTCTGGGGCGCATACACCTCGGCATCCTTGCCGGTGTTCTTCAGACCCTTGTGCCAGCTCAGATCTATTCATCCAATTGTCAGCCCCCCACCTCTTTTCATCCAGGGGGGAAAAGAAACATACCAATCTCAAAGTAATGCTTGTTGGGCAGCGCATACTCCACCGTCTCGAGCAGGGGCTGCCGCTCGAGGATCTGCTCGGCCATCTTGTACATGGTGTTCTGGACGCTGGCCGAGTTATCCTCGGCGAAGGTCTTGAGGGTGATCTCGCGGGCGGCGGCCCAGGTGGCATCGAAGCGGGGGACGGCGGCGCGGACGGCCTCGATCCCGGCGAATCGCTGCCACTGCCAGGTGGCGTCGACGTCGGTGCTGAGGATGCGGTCCCAGGTCTCCGGCAGGGTGGTGTACTCGTCGCGCACGAAGCCCCAGAATTGCGAGTTGGTGCTCTTGAGCACGGTCAGCTTGGCCAGCGAGGAGCGGATGTCGATGCCGATGCTTTGGGCCTTCTCGACCACGTCCACCTGCACGTTGCGCGTCTCCTCGCCGTCGCGCAGGAAGCTGTGCGGGTGCGGCTTGCCGTCGATGGTCATGCGCGTCCACCGGTGCGTGACGATGGAGGTGTGCGCCGCGTGGATGTGCGGGTACTTGGTCACGAAGTGGTTGCCCAAAATCGAGCCGAAGAGCTCAGGCGGCGTCACGGGGTTCTGCTTCGCCAGGATGTAGATCGTGTTCTTGATGGAGTCCGTGGCGACGACGACGCTGTTGTCGGCTTTGGTGTAACTGTGTCATAGATAGGAGATGTTAGCCGGTTCCGTTGGTGCAGGGGAGCGGAGGGGAGCGGAGGGGAGTGGAGGGGGACACAAGCAGAAAAAAAAAAAAAAGGAAAAAACTTACGAGGTGTCAATCTCTCCCTCCAGGAGGACACAGACGGTCATCTCGACGACGGTCTGGACGCCCGTCTTCTCGTCCCGGTGAACCTTGTATACTCGGACATTGTCCTTGCCGTAGCGGGCCGCAGTGATGGGGGAAGACATGATGGTGGGGGATGGGGATGGGGATGGTTTTCGTTGGAGGGGAACAACAACAACAAGGAGGTAGAGGAAAATGCCCGATTGAAAGAGCAAATGTGCAGGGTATGCAGGTACACAGAAAACGATCGTACAACCGGGGAACAGAAGCGTCTTTAAGTTGGCGCAGCCTTCGCTCGCCCTTGGGGTGAAGGGGAAGATGGGGGGAGGATCGCTCGTTATCGGCCACCTCCGAAACCCGCGCCAGTTCGACGGCCTCCGCACTTTTTGGTTCCTTATCTTATCGGGATTTGATCCTGCTTTGCTGTACGGAGCTGGAGCTGGAGCTGGCCTCCCCTGTCAATTTCAATAATAGTACCAGTAACTAAACTGAATAAAACTTATTATGCTCCTGGTCAGGCCATATCCCTCCCAACATGCATGCGTATGCTTTTTCATTCGAAGCGGAGGACGGAGATCCCCAACAGAACACTCGTCGTCCGGGATCAGATCACGGTTTCTGGTTGAATTGACTGCTTACTCTCGCGTTCTATTGTTCTTCGGCATGCACATCCGGCTGTTGCCCTCGTCTGACTGACTAGACGTCAGATCCATCCTTGAACATTGCGTTATTGACTTTGCCATGTCTATGTCTATGTGCGTAAGCTTTTGCTCATTTTCTTGCGACGACGGCGGAGTGGCCGGTTATGGTTCTCGTATGGTTCTCGTCGTCATTATTGAGTGCGTGGGAGAAAGAGAATCCGCCCGCAAACCGAAAACGATTTTCCTACCAGAATGTAAACTAGCCACAGCTTAGCCACCGCTTCAAGCAATGGTTGCAGCGCTTCTCTCTCCGCTTCGCCAAACCACAAAATCCACTCAAGTCTAGCTAGCGATTTACTTCGTAGTATCATTGAGTAAACTAGAATGTGGACAATGAGCCGTCGTCCGCCCCGAATGTTGCGATGGCGGTCGTCGACGGGTTTCATGATCGCGACGGTCTGGACATCGTTCTTCACGGTGGGTACCCTTCTGTTCTTTGATGCAATGGCTGATGTGATAATAGGACTACTTTCTCTATGCGATGGTAAGTCACCAGTGAAAAGGGACATGCTCTGCCGTCGACTCTAACCAGCTCCGCGCAAGATCGTACCTGTTATGCCTACTGCCCTCGTCGACCGCGCCGGTGTCGCATATGAAGACCGTAAGTCGAACACTGCCGATTCAATGCTCTAGTCGGCTATCTATATCTCAAGCTAACTCGCGGTAACCCTCATTCAGGAGAATTCTGGGTGAGCATCCTGCTGATGTGCCAAGCTGCCGTCGCCTTTGTCTGCTGTCCAGCCTTCGGTTACATGCTCGATGCGGCACCCACGCGCCGGATGCCCTACCTCCTGGGCCTGATCTTCCTGGGGGCATCGATGGTCCTCCTCGCTCTCGCGCACACGATCGCGGTGTTCATCGTGGCGCGCATGCTGCAGGGCGCGGCCACCGCCATGGTCGCCGTGGCCGGGCTCGCCCTGCTCACGGACTCGGTCTCCACGGGCAATCTCGGCCAGACCATCGGGTACCTGGGCTCGGCCATCGCCCTGGGATTCCTGCTGGGTCCGCTGCTGGGCGGCTTGGTCTATCGAGTCGCCGGGTACCAGGCTGTGTTCGCCATCGCCTTTGCCATGGTGGGGATCGATCTGCTCATGCGAGTCGCGGTGGTCGAGAAAGCCGTCGCCGAACGGTGGCTGCAGACGCATTCAGCATCGTGCTCGCCATCCCCAGAGGATGATGGGTATACGTCAAGCGACAGTCTGGTGCAGCAGCAGCAGCAGCCGCGACCAGCCGCGTCGCCAACCAGACAGCGCTCTCCATCCTCATCCGTGATGTCCAACAACGACCAACATAAGCAGCCAGCGATACTGATAATCCTCAGCCAACCGCGGATCCTCATCTCGTCAGGAGCACTTCTCGTTCACGGCCTCCTCTACTCAGCCTTTGACGCCGTAAGCTTCCCCGATCCCCTCTAACCAGACCACAACCCACATCCCACATTTTGCTTACCTCTCCATTCATGGAAAACAGACAATCCCCATCTTCGTCGAATCCCACTTCGGCTGGACCACCTTCGGGGCAGGGATGGCCTTCCTCCCCTCCGCCATCACCGCCCTCTTCCAACCCTACTTCGGTACGTTCCTATCCTCGGGCCCCCGATGCCCTTACTTCCCCCCCAATCCAAACCCCAACCCCTAAACTAAATCCCAACCCCTTCCCTTCCCCCTTTACCCCCTTTCCTTCCAACCCACTAACCCCTAGCGAAGGCCATCTAACAGACACCCACGGCCCCCGCCTAATAGCGCTCAGCTCCTTCACCAGCCTCACCCTCCCGCTCCTCACCCTCCGCCTCGTCACGACCGCCCACCCCGCGCACATCGCTCTCCTCCTGACCTGCCTGACGGCCATCGGGCTCCTCATCAACCTGTGCACGCCGGCGCTGTACCTCGAGACGCAGCACGCGCTGGCCGCGCTGGAAGCGCGGGACCCCACGGTCTTCGGCCCCACGGGCGCCGTCGCGCAGGCGTTCGGCATCCAGACGATGGCGCAGTTTCTGGGCCTGTTTGTGGGACCCCTGTGGGGCGGGTTCGTGGAGTGGCGGGCTGGGTGGGCGGCGATGACGGGGAGTTTGGCGGGGTTGGTGGCGGGGATGGCGGTGTTGATGTTCTGGATGGGG